CAATTTGTTTTAAACAAATGTATGGGTGACGGTCATTCTATGGTCGGATCCTCTACTATTCTGCATTCATATGGTTGTTCTGAGGTTAACATGTACAACCTTGATATCCAAAAGAAAGGGAAGACCACCCACCGTACTACAACATCAATTTTGAAATAGTGGTTTAGAAATTCTGTGAAGTATCTAGAACAAATCACGATATTCATTCAAATACTTTTTATCGTTTCGGTCAATATTCAATTCAACCGAAACTGTAGAATTCTATGACAAATATCATCTTATTTTGATGGTCAAGAAAAACTACAACAGACTTATTGCTTCGTATATACCTGAGAGTGGTGAAAGTTGGCTCACTTGACCTGAAGAAAGTGTCTAGGTTTTCAATGATCCAAATAAAGATTGATCCTTCAATAGCCTAGCTGCATGAGTGAATTTATGTCTACAGATTTTATAGACATGTTCTTACAGAGTCTGGTCACTTTGTGTCAAAAACAAGCTAAATTAATCGACCTCCCAAGTGCAACGGTGATGCTCAATTTTCAGAGATTTACGTCGAATCGATACAGCTCCTCTCGAATCCATTCACTACTTCATTGTAGCAACAACATTTTTTTTTGAATTCCAACAGTACCAATGACCAGATCTGTCCAAAGTTCGTGCAAACACAGGCCTCGGAAAGTATTCTAACCTACTCCCTTCTTGGTAGTGGCCTTGTTTGGTCTACTATGAGCCTAAAAGGTGTTTACCTTCTTCATGGTTCCCTGAGACCATGACGTAGATTCCTTCAGTGATTCTTGGCCATTAGTATACGGGTACTTCTCTACGACCCTTACGGACTGATAAAGATCCCTTTTATTAGATGCATAAAGGTAATGATTATCCATATGAGTACAAAACATGGGATGGCATTGGAAATTCGAACTCCAGAGTTGCCACATTTATTATACTCTTGATGATTTCTGAGCTCAGCAAATAAATGAGCAACTGAGAGGTGGAAAAATGAAACTTCTCTGCTATATTTAGACGCCAACCTAAGCAGATATTATGGTAATGCGAGTTCTCCAGAGTGGTATCAGTTGTTCAACGCATTTCATTATTCTGCCAGGTACCATAATGCTCTATAGCGAACCAAAGATGAGCTAATTTGATCTATGAAATGCTTATCATTAATCCATGCAATCCATAGAGGAGTTACGCTTATATTGCACTGAGCCCTACGAGAAGCAGGTTCTCCTTGCATCCAGCCACTCTTATTTTGACTGTTTCGGCGTGTATATCCGTTTGCATACTGGGTTGATTGTGAGAAGTATTCATGTGTAGAAAATGCCCATTATGAACAATTTAAATTTATTATTGTTACAACATTTCATACCCTCACAGATTTCAAGAATGCTATTTATGTAACTAAAATAGCTTTCCGAACATACTGTATGAACATGAATCATTTTCAGGATGTATCTACTAATTTGATCAATTGATATCCAGGACGTGTTTCCACATACCTGCTACTAACGACATTGTTGATGGGACTGATATCAATCGGTACATTACGCTACATTAGGCTTCAACATAACGATCGTCATCTGTATGCATTCGAACATGCAAGCAGAATTTCAGTTTACTGGCAATATTGTCGAGATGACGATTACGATTGAAGGTAATAGAAACAATTGCAAAGTGAATTATGGAGAGAATCCAGATGCCATTGAAGATAACCATATGACTTGACACCAAAATAACTCTGAAGCAGGTATGGGCATTGGATTCAGTCTTTCACGAGTCCATTATGTTCAAATTCAAGGAATATCAAATAATCAATAGTCATGAAGTAGTCATACACATTCACCTAAACGGTTTCAGAGGTCATGAAGCAACTAATGAAGCCACCTTGGATAGAGCTGGAATCAAATTATATAGAGGAGTTCAAATTAATCTGATTGATTCGAATAGAATCAGATTTTGCTTGCCATCTAACTGAAAATGGTCTAAACCAATGTTGGAGTGGAGATTTTATCACTTTCATTGACACTTTTTTCATACCAGAAAACAAATTACTGTCTCTATACTTTCGTTTAGCTAACCAAGTTAGCATCCTCAGGAGATGATGCTAACTCGGTTAGCGAAACGTACGTCCAGAGACAGTATTTTTGTTCTGGTTTGGAGAAAGTGTTTTCGAAATATTTACTTTGATTCAATTCAAAGAAATTAGTTTACTCAAAAAAACATACATGTTGCTTATATTATAACATCCAATCGGTCTCATATAACATATTTTCAAATTAAAATTAGTTCTGTGAATACTGGAAAATAGAACACCTTAGAGATAATGATTCATTCCAGACGCAGTTGAACATATCAAAATCTTTTTTGATATACTGGCTATAGTAACTTACACTGGGGTGAGTTTCAAAATACCATATTATCGCGTTAGGTTGGCTTTCTGTATTTGCGTTCAAGTAGGTTTGGGAAAGAACTATAAGGTCTTTCAGATGAATGATGCTTTTTGATTGAGTCAAATTTTCCTCAAATAGAAAAGATGGTTTTTGAAACTATAGCCAAACGGAAATCCCTGTTTCAGTATAAGTTACTGATCTTCCCGTGACTCGAAAAAAATGTCAATCTCGATGAAAAAGAGAAATAATTAGTTATGATTCATTATAGCAAAGGAGAGGGTTGGGATTTCAGCAAGATGGGGCTCCAACAAAGAAACATATTGAGACAAAATAGGTTAGCAACAGCCAGCATGGTTGCCAAACATATTTTTCTTCGACAGAGAACAATTTGGAAAAATTTACGAGAAACGGAATATAACA